CTCACAAAATTACACCATACATGTGTGAAATAAGAATAAAAGGCTGTTTATCAGACTGAATGTTACACATGCACTCACTCATGAGATTTGTCAGTAACCTCAGGTCTCATTTTCTGGCTTTAGTATTTGTAACTCTTTGTTCATCAGAATATGCAAGTTAGAAGCTGGTTTGAGATTTAAGCAAAAAAAAATTGCCTTCCTTATGGAACCTTCCACAATGCTATTAGAATGATTTGTTAGATTGCAATACACTGATGGGAACTTACCACTGATCAACCTGTCTTTATTTGCTAGATTCAAGAAGAACAATCTGTTCATTGGATAAATAAGTCCATATATTGCGCAAATCTACAGTAGTTTGGTTTACAAGCCCATATTTAATCAGTACCTTTTGCTGGACCTGGTAACATGGTGGGGTTTTGCAAATAATGTACTCGGTGAAGATCTGTGACTCTGCAATTGTGTCCACAATAAACAGATGAAGAGCAGTGAAGTGCTCCAGGAAGCTACCTCACGTAAAGGGCACTATATAAATGCAAGTTTTGTTGTTGTTGATGATGAAAAGAGAATGATTCTTTTGGGAACTGATGGCCTTCTAACCCTTTTTCCTTTTCACTTTGTGTCCGTTATAAGTTTCTATGATTGCTGAGCTATTTAAATCATTTTGGATTCAAATATTTATTGTCTGTAAATGATTTTCAGTTTTGCATTACTGCATGACTTAGTTTTGTTTAATGTTTAATTAGGAACTTCTACAGACCAGTAGCGTTTCTAGGATAAGCACAGTCTCTAGATGTTTGTTCTTCCCTGTTAAGCTTTTTCAACTCTTTTTCAACGTTTTGATTTTTCTTCCCATGTTGCATAGATCCTCACTCAAAGACTAGCCAGGGCACAACAGGTGTGTTAAATAGAGAGGCAAAGGTATTTTATTACGATAATAAAGCACACATTTATACAACTTTCATTATCAGTTTATGCCGTTCAGGTATCTGTTAATCACACATAAAGCGAAATATTTACAGCTCACAGGTTAACAAAAAAGACTCTTGTTCTAAGCCTTTTCACAGGTACACATTAACCTTTCATGAAACTCAGTTTCAACAATTCAACTGTGACAGTGCTGTACTTAGCCAGAAGCCATGAATTCAAAGATGCTCAAAATATGAATGATAGCATAAACTATCATAAACATAAACTGCCTGCCACCACCTCCACAATATTGCCAGACTCTGACACTGCCTCACCCCTCAGGCTGTCGAAACCCTCACCCATGCATTCGTCACTCAAGGCTTGATTAAGGGAACTCTCTCCTCACCGGCCTTCCCTTCACAGATCATCCAAAACTCTGCAGCTCATGTATTTTCACGCACCAGGCTCCGTAACCCTATCACTCCCACCATCACCCGACTCCACTGGCTCCCCATCCCCCAGAGAATCGAGTTCAAGATCCTCTTCCTCACCTTTAAGGCCATCCATGGCCTTGCCCCCTCCTACCTCCCTGACCTGCTGACTCCCTAACAACCTGCCCGTTCCCTCCGTTCATCGGGCTCCAGCCTGCTCCATGTCTCCCGCCCGACCCACCCTACCATCAGTGGCCGGGCTTTCAGCCTCTCAGCCCCCATGCTCTGGTACTCCATCCCACGGTCCCTTCACCTCGCTTCCTCACTTGCCTCCTTCAAGGCTGATCTCAAGACCCTTCTCTTCGACCGTACCTTTGGTCTCCCTCTCACCTCTCTGCCCTCCCTCACCCCTACCCTACCCCTCCCCCATGCTCGGGTCCCGACACCTGACTGTTCAGCGCTTGGGGACATCCTCCCGACGTGAAAGGAGCTCTATAAATGTAATTTTGTTCTTGTTGTTGGATTGTAAAAGATATTATAAGTGATAAAGTGACACTATACTTGTGCTGGTGTGACTCATGGATTTAAGTGTGAGCAGCCTTATTGATACGACCATGAGATCATAAACTGTGATGAACTTCCTTGGCAACTTGCACAATTCTTTCAATTGAATTGAGGATGATGATAATCATAATAATCGTTGCATTTGATATAGCATCTGATCACTCAGAGAAACAAAAGTGCTAACAACCAGGATATACAGTAATTTACTAATATTAAGACATATCGTACGCGTGAGAGTTTGCTGATTTATCGAAAATCTGTATTATTAATAATACTAATCCTTGCATTTGATATAGCGCACTATCACATCATCGAAACGCCTTCATCTGCTTCACAGGATTTACTGTAGAGTGCAGTGGCTTTGTATTTTGTAAGTGAAATTATTAATAATTAATAATAATTTCAAATGGGATTTCCTAGTAAGAACTCTGAATCATAAATAGGGATTCCTTCATGTAACCATAGGAATGTCATATAGACCTTGTAACATTGTACTAAGCTAATGCAAACTGGGAAATTCCTAGGTTCAAATGTTTGTTTGAACTGAGACAACTGTTCTAAGTCAGGGCAGCAGAATGGGAGCAACATTTGGAGTCATTTTCCCCGGGTTAGGAAATGGAAAATCAAGAAGTGCTCCAATGCTGAATGTAATTCAGTGACTCCTGTTGGATTGCATGCTTGTGGAGATTGAAAGAAAATCAGGCTCAGTTGGGATGCCACTATAGTTGAAGAGCTTGCCAATATTCAGTGTCTGAGCCACCTGAATCGTGACACACTGCTTTTACAAGTGGTTTAAGTTAGCAAAATCTGAGGGAGCAAAATGTTGACTAATTTCAGAGGAAAATGGGAGAAATTGGAGATTCTGTGCAGTGCTATAGGTTATATGAATAAGAATTAAGTAATTAAGGAGGCACTGTATGGCACTTAGTAGTCGAAAATTTTCAGAAAATGATTTGTGGGGATGTTGAATTGTACAATACTGAGCATAGCTTGAAAGCCACAAAGTGCATTCAGCACTCAAAGGACTAATTGTATCTACCAGACACAGAAACCTTTCCTCGCATGTTTTGTGCTGTAATGTGCAAAAACTGCAAGAGTCAGTTCAAAAAGGACTGAGCTCCCTTTTCTGAAACTGAGAATGAAACGTATAAATTGCTGCATTAGCAATTAAAGCAAACGATACATTCAACAAGACTATTCTCATGGTCTGCTATCCACTAACACTTTTGAAATGCCTGGATGCGCACCATGAGAATGCAGCAAGCCCGGCTTCTGCAAAAAGTTGATAATTAATCCCTAAGTGGATAATGTTCAATGGATTATAGGGGATATTGTAACACGCTGCGCTCAGAGAAAGCACTGCTTTCCCAGTGGCTATGATTCAAAATAATGCACTTCTAGATTTGCTTTGAAAATTCTTCTGCAGGCTTTGACTCTTTTATTTACGTCAATTTGTTATTTTGTGAACATTTTTCTCTTTCAACTTTTTTTGAACAGCAAGTGCATTGTGAATGCCTCAGAACCCTCCAACTCAGCTATTGCAGTTACAAGTATATTATGAGGACAGGTCACAGTGTTGCTTAAGCAGTAATGAAGTCAGAATTCAGGATACCTAATGATGTGGAAGAAGGCAAATAATCTCCACGTCATGTAACTTGAGGGGAGACTCTGAACACCATACAGTTCAAGAGACGGGTTTATATTCCACAGAGCAAATAACGACTAGTATTGATTAAAATTACTTTCTTACATTTGATTGATGGGGACAATTACTGATCAATCCCTGGACACTACTGAAGTTCGTAGATGGGTCACAGGTCAAAGTACTGTAACTGCCAAGCCCCCCACCAAACACACTATTGCCTACCTTAAGAAAAAAACTATCACTAATTATTTTATTCAAGTGCTTGAATATTTTTCCAGGATCAGATCAGCTCACAGCACCTTCTTCATTTTCTTTGAAAACAACACAAAGAATCCCATTTCTCAAACAGCCCAGATAAGGCAATTGCTGCTTACTGTATATATTGTATATGTAAATTACAACACACAGGAGGATCTGCGGGAAAGGATTGGATTTCTTTGAGTTGCCTGTGGACAGTAAGGGCATTCAGACCTCTTTCCTGCATGCTCTCTATCCTTTCCAATGATGAGCTTTTAACACACAAAACTGACACGCTTCAGGAGTATGTCGGGTGCTATTATAAAAGAAGTATGTTTCAAATGTGCTTCTTAATGAAAGCTTGAGGTCAGGGGGCATTTCAATGCAGTATTCCTTATGAAGGGCGCGCATTTAATTTACGTATGACTCATCAGTCAGGATGATTCTCTGTCTAGTAGCTCGCACCGCAGACTATTTTGAGAGCTATTGGAGTGTACCAGATGGTTCATTAGCAGTGCTTGCACAGGTCAAAGGCTTTCGGAATCATTTAGAGATGTCAAACTGAAACAAGAGCATTGTCAACTTTTAACCAGGATTTACAGCCAAAGGTTGGGATATTAATTCAACCTCAGGTCAGTAAATTAATCAGGGATTACAACTGTTGTATTATGTATATTTAGAAATCCAGGTAATAGAGTAAGGGAGGTCCTGGTTGCACCATTAGCTGTCAACTGATTGCTTTCTCATGCTGAATCCTAAACACCTTAACGTAGCAATTGCTGGACCTGCTGAATCCACTTCTAACTTTAATCTACTGGGCTCATCTTCATGTTGATAATAAACTACAAATTTACATTTGGATAGAGCCTTTCGAGTCGGGAAGATATCCCAAGGTGCTTAACAAGCACACCCAAGCTAGGTAATTGGTAATTCAAATGAAAACTGCATAATATTCACACTCTTAATTAAAAAATCTCAACATTTCTTAAAAGGAGAATGAAAAAGACAAGTGAGACAAATCGACACACCTGTCCCTTTTATTGTTGACAGCTACAATAGATGAGAACAGCAAAATAAAAGAAGCTTTTTCTTTATGGAAGAAAATTTCTGGGTCTCTTTCTCAGTCACTGCTCTCTTTCTCTCTCTCTCTCTCCCCTCCTTCCGTTCCTTTGTTTCCCAGCCCTCTTTAATTGTGACTTAAATTTTACTTTCAGATGTAAAGAACTTGGAGAACTTCCACCTGGTTGAAAGTGTTCAGGAACAAGTCAACGCTGCATTGCTGGACTATGCTATGTGCAACTATCCTCAGCAGACAGACAAGTTTGGACAACTCCTACTGCGGTTACCAGAAATCCGGGCCATCAGCATGCAGGCCGAAGAATACCTCTACTACAAGCACCTAAACGGAGATGTGCCCTGCAACAACCTTCTCATTGAAATGCTACATGCCAAACGGGCTTAAATTACAACCCCAGGGTCTTTGCATCTTGAGCAAAAACTCAAAGCTGCACCAAGCAACTGTAATTAAAAAGAAACATTTCAGTGCACTAGATGGAAAGATATCAGAGGACATTGTCATGTGATCAGTTCATCATTAAACAAGTGATGTAACAGGTATTGCCATGGAATCTGATAACCGTGAACCCAAACGCACCTGGGCTCTGTATACGCCCCCAAAGGAAACCTCTGTGAGGCCCTTAAGGAAGTGCTTACTCATATGAAGTTCACCGTGTCAAAAATGATGAAAATAATATCATACAATAGTTTCCACTTTGTTTAAATTGACCACTAATTCCAGGAAATTTAAGAATAAGCTGGGGAGTTGTGCACTAATGGCAATGCAGTCGGGGGCTTCAAGTGGACTAAGTAACCCTTAAATTTCAAAGCATGCAGAATACAAAGCAAATCTGGTAACAGTAATGAGTAGTCACAACCTTCTCTCTCCCTCTCCTTCCCCAAAAAAACTATGTCCCCAGTGATCGTCGATGTGGTTCCTGATAGGAGATCTAAAGGGCTATCTGTAGTTGGCTTCACTGTCCATTTGCTCGCTTAAATCACAAGAGCCTATCTATGTGTGAGGGCTGCAGAAGCTGTGAGGAACCATCTGTCAAGCAATTAGTTTGACAACCGCCTTGTGTACCCATTAGTTTTTTTTAGCCAAAGTGTACGTTATTTGAACTAGACCAAAGCCTGCTGCAGAACAATAATGAGAAAGAAAAACTTACAACCAACTTGGATTTTTTTTTTGTAAATTTTTTTTATTTCATGTTCACAATCTCTCAATACTTAAAGATGGCAGTATTAAATTTGTGATGTCACATTTATGTGAGTCTTGCCTTATTTCTTTATCATGCTAGCTGACTGCGCAAATTTGAATCTGAATATGGGGAAGAATATAATTAAAGTATTAATGCCGGAAATTCAGAAAACAAAGGTGTTTACATTTACTAACTCCTGTGGGAAGGAACTGGGTTGACACAAATTGCAAAGCAATGATTTCCTTAATTATGTTTCATTGGTAATTTTTTTTACCAGTACTTAATTCTGTCGTGAGACACTAAAATCAAAAAGGGAATCTCACTAAGACATTAATTTTAACAGATAGATCTTTGGCGACAAGATCACTAGTAGAGACTGTATAAACAGTTAGTTCTTTTGTTTTTTTCCAGGTTTTTGGCTTTGTTACTGGAATAGCACCATTTATATTGTATATCATAGTTTTCAACTGTAGACAATTATGTTACTAATTTATTTCTTCATTGTTTCATCTTTGTGTAAAATGACAAAGCCAAATAAATGCATTTGTTCACTGTAGCGCCTTTCAGATATTAGCAGCTACGGTCAGTTCAGGGACAAACGTATCTTAAAATAATCACACATTTCATTTTTATATATATATATGCATATATATATATAATGTGACTCTGAAAATGTAAAAATGAAAGGCTGTTGTAAATGATGTGACCCAAGGCTCCATCTTTAGCTGAACAGGAAGATTTAAAGTTGAAACTTTGCATTAAATAAAAAAAACTGTCTTGTAAACTGTATGTTCTATACCAAAGACGGTAGTTAGGTTATGTTTTCTGTATTCAGTTGTCTCACTACAGTGCAGAATGTAAAACCGTAATGCTTATTTTAATGGACACAAGCTTGGAAACAGCTTTGTCTTCTACAAAGTACAGTAAAGGCAAACTATGCCTTATGTCTGTACTCTTAGTTGCCAGCTCCAGGTCTTAGGAAACCACCCTTACTGATGTCTTACAGAACATTGTAAAGCTAATTCTCTGTTGCATTGTTTACAATTATTTTAGAGACTATTATATGGGTATATTGCCCAGATTTCAATCAGAATAGTTCTACCTTGCTATTCCAAGGACACTGACAGGCTAATAAAGGGCAACTCTTATGTTGCTCAACACCATAAGTTCAGAGCGCTGTGGTAATCGTTTTATCTGGCATGCCCTGATAGTAAATATAAGCAGACACAGAAATCACAAAATAATGTTGAGCTTTTAATGTTTTATTATTGTGCTCTTTTTGTGTGAACAGACATTCTGTCGTGTCAGTACTTGCGATGTATTACTGATGTTCTGCAACTGCCTTGGATTTCAGACCATTCTACTACTCGGTGTGCAGTTACTTGGTTCATGACTCTAAATGTACTATATTAATTGGAATGACGTACTGTCATGTCATTTCTTGCCAAGAGTTTCTTTACACTGATGGAATTTTTCAGTATTTCAATAAATAATGATATGCGCGGCATATCAGTGGTCGGGTCCTTACGTTTGTTCCTAATCTTTTTATATCAGATGTGCAAAAGCTGTGCGGTGAGTTTCATAGAAAAATGGAAGTGAATATTTGGCCACACTGTTTGCTTGCTGAAGTAGATCATTCACAGTGGGCGGATTCTATTCAGTCTGGTGCAACCTAGCTCTACTTTCTTTGCAAACACACCTCATGAAACCATTATTATATCTGTATATTCAAACAGGCCGTTCACAGACATCATCCTATCAAATGAATAAATGACATTGCTGGAAATTCAGATTCTTGCACATTTTGTGCATCTTATGGGATATTATTATGCATTATTTCTTACCTATTGAGTGAATGATTACCAATTTCTGACTTAGTTACTCATTTCCACAATGCCAAAGATTGGGCTGCAACCACAGCAACTAACTTCTTTTTACCATGTGACGTAACATCTGCAAATGTAGTTAGATCTGAAGTCATTTCTCAGGAAAATACACATGGTGGGCCTTTCTCTGCTGAAATCTTCAATTATCCCCATCCACGGGTGCCTTCCTTTAAAGTGATGCCCCACCTGACTTGTTTTAAAACTTCAGTTACATTTTTAAATACTGTAAATCCCGAAATCTGCACAGTCACTTAAAAGTTCGCCTTCAAAAGACAGTCGCTACACTTTACAGTAAAATCCTGTGAAGTACTTCGAGACATTCTCCTGAGGTGAGCAGCGCTATTTCAAATATAAGGATTACTATTAAGTTTGACACAACATTTGTATTTAGATTTCTTGTGGAATTAAACGTAATAATTAAAGATCAATGCCTATTAATTCATTTATTGCTTCTGTTTGTCTCCATGTATCTTTGTCTTTTGCATCACTGCTGAGGTCACATCTTGTGCATGCGTCTGTGTATATCGAAAAGTGTATGCCCAGTTGCCTTAAAGTTGTAGGCATATTATAAAGGGGTACACTCCTACACACTTTAGCAGAGGTTGTCCTATCTAAAATATATACACACAATCAAGAGTGTAAATCAGCTGGGTCTTCACAATGACATTTGGAAGAATTGACTCAAATCAGGAACTGATATCAGCCATTCGACAATAGCTAATACTGGCTCAAAATAGTACTATCACAATATAGGTTTTTGATGATACAATAATAACAATTTCAATAAAATTTTATGGTGCGCAGAAGATCAACATTTTATAAAGGGGTCAGAAAACCTACCATTTTTCAAGAATTTGTTTTCCGGACAAATGTTATTTATCCTTCCAGTTAATTTCTCCCAGTTATAGCATATTATGGATAACTACTGTTAAAAAAAATCAGATTCCGATTGGTTCTGCTCGTGACTTCATGCAAACACGTGACAGTTATTATTGTTGTTATTACATTCCTGCTCATAGAAATAACTCTTTGTGTATAAGTTTCATGCTTGCAGTTTAGTCAAATTTTAAGAGTTCTAACAAATGAACATGAACATATTGCATCTTTGCTATAGTTAGCACTACCTGCTTACGATGATACTTAAAGTTGAATCTTTAGTGGCACAGCATGCAATCAATGCTTTGCTGTTATCCAACACTGTTTTCTATGTACAATTCCAGCAGTGCTCATTACCATTCCTCTCTTATTGACTGAGCTGATTCACACTACTTAACATATTTAAACATCAACACAAACATTAATTGACTATCATTAATTAGGGCAAATAGCATAAGTCCTGCTTTTCAGAGGAATCGTCATTCATTTAAGGTTCCTGTTGCTAGAGTCTAGTCTCATTTTACATCTGAGCTTTTTAAATGGAGGCTGTGATCTTTGATTACAATCTCTCCCATACATCTTAGAAATTATTTATGCAACCATGACTTTAGACAACTCGAACTTTCACCTGTATAATTTTTTTTACAGCAGGATCTGTCGTACAATAGATTAAGAAATAAAACAGCTTGTAAATAGTTTCTGAGCACACCTATTCTAGGAAAAACCCAACATGCCATTCCTAATTGGGTTCTGCTATTGGATTGATAATGTTTTAGTCAAGTGGCGCACAGTTGGTGCTACAAACAAAGCTAACTTTCCCTGCTACTATGACTGATAGCAAACTTTTAGGTGTCTGCAAAGGGCCTCACCCTTAATGATGACAGAGCACCCATTATCACACTAGTTTATCTGATTTCTTAAAGACACTCGAGAGCTTTGCTCGCCACACACAGAGGCTCCTACCACTGCATCATCACTTTCTAATCCAACGTGCAACAGAGACTTGTCATTTTGACTCAAGTCAGTCCAAGTATAAGCTGCCAACTCGCTTCAGAGACGTGGATTTCAAAGAGCAGGAGGGTTCCTCGTCAAACTCCGTGGGGACATGCAGGCTGCAGCCATCTTCCATTGACTCCAGTCCACCGGGGAGCGAGCAGTCAGCTTTGCAACCCTGGAGGTAGATTTAGAAACGTGTTGTGTTAGACTGAAGAACAACATTTCATTTCTTAAAGCTTTGATGTCCCAGAAACTATTACTATCTATCAAAAGAGTTATGGATGATTGATATCGGTCTCCAGTGGCAATCGACTAATTGGTTTGATCTGTACTGAGAGACACCACCTGCTTTAGTTGAAGCCACCCAATTCCAATTTGTAACGTTGATAATCCATTTTGCTAAACTAGTGGTGACTCTTGTTTCTCATTATTTCTTTGTAAGATTACATACTGAAATAAAACATTGGGTGATTATTATGCCCTGCAATGTCAAACATATCCATTACTGGATAATTCAGAAAATCAGTTCGCATAGATTGAGCTAAAAGGATGCTTTCCATCAAAGCCCATTTTTGTTGAAATAAGCATGTTTTTTTTTGCAATCCCTTCCATTTGTTAAAAGGTTTATAGATAAAATGGAAATGGCCTCTCAATAAATCTTATTGGAACCCCTTCCCCCTAGCTCCCATCAAGTGGTTTATATCAACGACCAATAAAAAAATACAGCATTCTGAGGTGTTCTTCAGATTGCATTAAAGGAAGCTGCTGCTTTTCTTCTCATTCAGTGGCTAAGATCACTGAAGCTCTACAGCAACATTTCCAACATTCTATTAATTAACAGAACAATGGACATGCTTTAGAAAAGCGATTTGTCATTTTCAGAATAAGGGCACACAATTCATCCTCTCACTTAAGTTACTTAGTTGCAGCAGCATTCAAACTGTACAGACATGGCATAAAAGATTCAAGGCCATTAAAAATCCTCAAGCAAGTGCAAGTTCTATGAAAAAAAATCCATTTGCAATATAAAATTGAGCAAGCCCTCAAAAAAATGCCTTCAATGTAAAGAGGGTTTCAAGAATGCAAAAAGCCCATAATGTTAGCTGGAAATGTTCTGTCTTCTCAATGGTGTTTTGCCTCTTAATTTTGGCAGCTGTTTCTCATTTGGCCTTGCATTTCGGGTGTTTGGTAAGTAAAATTTATGTTAAACTTTCCACGATTATGGCGGCGATGTTCATTGTTGAGCAAACTGTGCAGGAGGAGGCAATAAACCAACTAAAACAGACATTGCCAAATTCACAAACTATCAGAGACTCCCCTTTCCAGAGTTCACTTTATTCTGTTTATGTGAATGTTAGTATAATTTTTTAGGAGATTGGCTAAACCAGTATAGCTTATATTGGTGTTTTTTCCAGTTTGGATGTACAGGTCAGATGGAGTTGCATTGTAGTAAGCAGAGAAGGTTACAGTTACCAACATTTGGATATTTGGATAAAAATAGGATATAAGAACACTATTTGCTTCTTGGTACAAAAAACATAATTGAAATTGCACAAGATGAAATTTTCAGCCATATAAAATTATTTGAAAATACAGTATAGTGCCTTTATTGTTTTTGAAGTATCATGCTATCTTAACTAAAGGCACTCAGCGCCTTTATTACTCAATTTACCTCAAGCAACTTGCAGACAGTCCATTAAAGGTATAGACTCCACAGGTAAGAAGAAGCCTGGCAAGTGCTGCTCAGGGTTGGGAATAGAAAGTGATCAAAAAATGTTTTCCTCAGTAGAAGAGAAATGTTCCTGAACAAACCCCACTTAACTGCCAAGTTGTTCTGCATCGTGGTAGCCTGGGTGCCAAGTGCTGCAGCCCAAACATTGCATTAACGACTGCTATTTGATTGACTTGGACCGCCTTGAGAGTGCTGTTTCCCATGCTGTTGTGAACCTGGGACTTGGTCCAGTTGTAGTCGCTTTAAATCAGAAACAGCTTTGTTGGTTCTTAACACCAAACAATATGCTTAGACTAGCAGTACATCCCATTCAGCTATGTTGTGATCAAAGAGAATATTGGATCAGCAGAGGGAATACTGGTTTGCATCTGCAGCGGTTTAGCACTGCTTCTTGTCACCATAAGCACCCGACTGTCAAGCTGTCAGCGACCTATCACAGCTACTACTTGTTACACTGCTGCTCCCCTCAAGTTCCTGTCAAAGTCAACATCTCTCATGCGCGGGAGCCTAGAAGAGGGAAACAATACAGGTCTGTGAGATTTAAAACTGCGTTAGGATTAACGGAGGGTTCACCAGGGAGATGCTCTCCAGACTCGCACTCAAGTGCAGAGTCTGATAATCTAGAGTTAATCATAGACATAAATTATAGATTATATTTATGAAGCAAATGTAAAATTTAATCAAACCATAATTTATTAAACTTCCCCCGACACAGTACTCAAGATCTTGGATACATCTTGAGGGTAGGATGTTACTATATTAGAAACATACTGTTGTTGTAAAGAGAATTTCGGACGAAATGTCTGGAGTTTAGATTTTTGGGAGCAGATTTAAGTAAGATTTGTTTAATGGTGTTTTGGAGGTTCACTGCTTAATAAATGAGCACCATGCATCAAGATAAGGTACATACTGCATTCTTTGTGTTTATATTGTTCAAATCTCTATTTCCAAAGGGCAAAATATCTTTAAACAATGAGCAATATTCAATGCACTTCCTACAGTCATCTCCTGTTG